CCCCTCCCCACCAAAGAGCTGTAGCAAGCTCTGGGAGGGAAGGGGGAGGAGCGGGAACGTGGCGCGCTCAGGCGAGGAGGCGGGGAAGAGGTGGGGCCAGGGCTGGGATTTGGAGAAGGAGTCAAATAGGGGCAGGGAGGGGGCGGAGTTGGGGGGGGACTTTGGGGAAGGGGTTGGAATGGGGGCGGGGCAGGGGTGGACTCGGGGCGGGGCCAGGGCAGAGGGCGGGTTGAGCACCCGCCGGGGCCAGAAGAAGTTGGCGCCTCTGATCCCGGTTAGTCCTGCCCCGCTGAGCTGAGGGTGTTTTCTGCGCCGCTTTAAGTTGTAAGTTGTGACGAGGTCACGTGGCCCTGCCGGAGCCATGAAGTTGGTCGGATCCCTGCCGTGAACCCCGAGCTCGGCTCACAGCTGGGGCGGTCACCCCAGGGCGGGTAGGGGACTCCAGCCGTGAGCCCAGCCACCTCCCGGGCTCTCCGTTCCCCGGTCCCTGCCGGGAGCCCCGGGGGGCAGTCAGGTTCCTGGCAGGGAGCGCCATGCGGAGCTGAGTGTCCGGGTGGCAGCCGGGCTCCCAGCTGGCTCTCAGCCCCCCACACTGCCCCTCTTAAGTCAGCGGAAGCGCTCCTGGTGAGCACACATGGCCCCAACAGGCGGAGGTTAGTGTGGACATGACCTAACATAGGTTGACTTAATTTGATAGTGTAGACGTGCCCTAAGACTTCACGTGGCATGTCAGCCAAACCGCTCTGTGCTTGTCAGCTGAGCCCTGCTGGGCTCTGGGGTCACTGGGAGACGGTCGATGCAGAGCCGCCTTTCCAGTCGCTTTTCAGGACGCTCAGTGCCGTCGGCCTGGCCTGCGCCCGTGAGTTGGCGGGCTGCCCCACGGAGGCCTGCCAGGAGCTCGCAGCCAGAACAGCCAGGTGGGGAGAGAGTGCCACTTGGGGCAACCTGGATGGCTTCTCATCCTCTCTCTCCAGCTCGGCTCCCTCTCCCTGTATAAACAGGTCAGTCCGAGGGCAGAGGAGGGAGCCTCCTTGATTCAATCCAGGCAGTTCTTGCTGTGAGCGCCAGGCTGTCCTTTAAAGGCGTAGTACGCCCCTTCCCAGCCCTGTTCTGTGCCCCGGAATGGCAGCTCTGATCAGATGGGGTAGAGCTGCTGACTGCCCAGGAGGCAGGGCAGTGGAGGTCATGGGCCCATGACCCCCGCTGCTCTCTCCCTCTCGGCATATGCCTGGACCCTGGAGTCTGCCTCCTTCCCGAGCCAGGCTGAAGAGACGTCTGGGTTCGGCGCTAGCTTGCCATTGCTGTGGGGGAGGATTGGCTCTGGGTGGCGTCCGCGTGTGTGGCGGGCCGTGGGTGGAGGGCAGGAGGCCAGCTCAGGGGAGCGGCGTTCGTTTCTGCTCTCTCGATAGTTTATTGGCTCTGTGGCTTTTTAATGAGTCCTATTACTGCATGCTAGGTGCTCGGAGACCTTGTGGGTTGGCACAGGGTGCCCAATATATAATTTATTGGTATTATTGGGCCAACTTCCTGTGGTTTGTGTAGACTTTGTGTAGGAAACACTCCTATTAAACTCAGTGGATCTGATTCTCATTGATGCAAAGGCCCATAGCCATATAAGAAGGCCTGGCTTTGGACCTGTTACATTTACACTCACTATTAAGGCCCCTTTCGCTGTCAGGTGTAAAGGGGAGTTAGGGTCAATGAAAATCAGGCCCATGTGAGGACTGTACGATTTGGCCCATAATTGTGACTTGGTTATTAAGAATTGTTGGTAACGAACGCAAGAATCTCCACTAGCTGGAGAACAGGATGCAGGGCATTTGACAACCGGAATGTGGCATATCATAGAATCTCAGGGTTGGAAGAGACCTCAGGAGGACTCAGTTGGACCTCTAGTCCAACCCCCTGCTCAAAGCAGGACCAATCCCCAATTTTTGCCCCAGGTTCCTAAATGGCCCCCTCGAGGATTGAACTCACAACCCTAGGTTTAGCTGGCCAATGCTCAAACCACTGAGCTGTCCCTCCCCAGGCCAGGATATCTAGAAACATCGCATTTTCCCTTTGAAATGAATGCATTCAATTGTGGAACGGCTCTGAAAAGGACTGTAAAAAACGATATCGTAGGGCTGTGTGTCGTCTCTCCAAGACTCCTGTGACTTTTCCTCTGTTCCTTGTCAATTACCCCAGTGCAAAGAGCGGGTAAGCGGCTACCAGATCAAAATGAGAGTGGGGCGAATAATAGATTTTGCAGTTCATTGGATGTTCCAAAAAATGGTGGGGGAGGGGAATTCATTTTGGATCAGGCCAAAATACCGAAAACGTTTGCAATTTTTCAGCAGCTTGAAAAAGTCCTACATAAAAAAAGTCTCGGGTCGAACAAAATGTTTCATTTTGAGAAAATCAGAATGGTTTTATTGTGACCGCTTTGAAACGCTTTTGCATTTTTAAAAAAATACACAGTGTGATTAAAGGACAGTTTGCGACCAAGTCATTTCACACCAGCAAATCAAAGCACTTTGTTGAGAGAACGCTGAACCGTTTCAAACTCTTTGGAATTATTTTTTGTTTGTTGTTCTAACCGATTCGTGAAAGGTTTTGCTGCGTTTTTCACCCCAAAAAGTAGCCTCCAAAATGTCTCCCGGTTCTAATCAGGATGTGCGCCGCTTGCACCCCCTCTGTAAGGGTCCCTACTGTGGGTTGCAGCCCAAGCCTGAGTGTCTACATCACAATTTAACAGCCTCTTAGCTTGAGCTTGAGTCAGCTGACATGGGCCGGCCGGTCGCAGGTTTCTAATTGCAATGCAGACACACCCTGAGGTTCTTTCCTTCTCACGCATCAACACCATTAACAAAGGGTTGGTGTGTCAAATTAGCCCGTGTGTTACCCATGGGCTTCCCCTGCTTTGAAACGTAGGCCCACCGTGACTCTGCGAAACCCAAATGTCCTCATGGAGTTTCCACAGGTGTGACTGCTTGGAACTTTGTAAACCATTCTCTTGACCGGGCCCAAGGAAGAACAGATTCCAGCTGACTTTCTCTTAGCTGAGCTATTTTTGCCGGGCAAACAATAAAGACCAGTGCAACTTGTGTAAGGGCAGGTCTACACTTAAAACTCTGCACCCAGGCAGGTGCGCCACTGTTGTACTTCAATGAAGACACTCTATGCCGGCGGGAGAGAGCTCTCCCGTTGGCAAAATTAATCCACTTCTGCAAGAGGCTGGTGGGAGACCTTCTCCTGCCAACCTCGTGCTGTCCATACTGGCGCTTAGGTCGGTGTAACTACGTCGGTGACGGGGGTGGATTATTCACACCCCTGGGTGACGTAGCTATACCAGAGTCATTCTCTGTTGTGTAGACCAAGGGTAAGTCTGGAATTTTTCAACAAGCTGTTTTTGGCTGAAAAATGTCAATTTGTTGAGACCGAAACCGTTGGCGAAACAGGGTTGATTTTGCCAAATCTCCTGACCTGAGGAATTATTGGGAAAAAGTGTTTTGACGTTGTCAGAATGTCCCACGTCCACATTTTTGACATCCAAAGTTCCGGTTGTTTGAGTTGAAACAGGTTTTCATCCTGAAATTTGAAGACATTTAGACTAGCAAGAGGTTTGAAAAAAGAAAAAAAGGTTGAAAACAAAATGTTTCAAAACTATCAAAACAAAATGTTCCAAAATTACATAAATAAAATCTTCTAATTGACCTAAACCAATTTTTTTTTTTTTTTTTTTGGATTTTCAGTTCTCCAAAATTTTTGAGATTTTGACTCTTCTTCCCAATTCGGGCTGGGAAATTTTTTTGATGTCTCAAAAACTCTCCTTCTAGGGGAAAATCATTTCCTGCCCAGCTCTAGTCACTGCTGTAAAGGGGCCGGGCTCGGAAGACTTTCTCTTCTCATTAGACTCCAGGGACACCTTGTGTCACCCCTGGTACCCAGGGCAAAGTGGGTGTGAATGGCTCAGAATGGCATTTGCTTTGCACTGGAGGAGGTGAATTCCCAAGGCGCAGTGCAAAGGAAGGATCAGGCAAAAGGTCTTTGGAAAAGAAGCGAAGTGCGAATTGCTTCCGTGGGTGGTTGTTGGCAGCAGCTTCTAGACCCATCTTGTTCCGGAGGTAGTGCTCAGATTTAGCAATCCTACTCAGCACTCACATCCTTCCTGCTCTGGCTGGGCTGGGTGCAGAATTATGGATATTTATCTGGAGGAGAAACATGCTGGCCCCTGGTTCTATTTTTTTTAAATGGATTTAAACTGATCAGGCTAGACTGTGCATTGCCCGCAATGGGAAATGATCCATCACCTGCAATCCCAGGTAGAATCCTTCTCGCCTTATCCAGAATTCCTCTGGGGGAGCACCAGGGAGATCTCCTGCCTTTTGAAAGGTGCAGCTGAGGTTCCTCCAGCATCCAGGCGGTTCTGCTGGTTGGGGTGAGGAGGGGGTCACCTGGCACACAGAAAGCCTGTGCATTGCACCACCTCTGCACAGCCTTCTCGCACTGGGCAGCTGAGCAGCGCCTGTGTCCTGGTCCCCACCCATTCCCAGGGCACATACGTGCATGCGTGTGCCCTACTTCCCCTGTCTGCCCTTGCTAGCGCCTGGTACAATCTGCTCCTCAGAGCTGATTCTCTGTAAATGTCCTCTGTCCCACAAACGGAGCAGCCTGTTACCATGATGGGAAAGTGATGGCACAAGTGAGGTCCATCGTTGAGAGCATGGGGCTGCGAATCAGGACGCCTGGGTTCTGACTCACTGCCGGGCTCTGGGCGAGTCACTTCCCCTCTCTGTGCCTCAGTTTCCCATTATAAAATAGGGATGTGGATGATACTGACCCAAGGGAGTGGGAGAGTCCAATCGAAGGAATGCGTGTGATTGCTCTGAGATTCCCAGGGAAGGTTTCTCAGCAGCCCACGGCATGACCATTATTACTGGGGATCTGTCCGCGGGGAGATGATGGGGGTCGGGGGCAGAGGCTTTGTAATAAGGATATTTGTTTTGCCTGTTTTGCAGAGTTTCAATGTTCTGACTTGGTCTAAGATGAAGGTATGGAAGTTTGCAGCCATTGCCTCGATGCTCCTCAGTTCCATGTTGTCCATTTTAGTTTGTAGAGACATGCTCAACAGAAGCCGGAAATACAGCCCCTTCCCTTCCTCGCCGTCAAGGTCAGCCTCCTCTTCTGCCTTGCCTGTAGGTCAGCGGAGATCCCCGCGAGCCCTGGAGCGCCGTGACCCGCTGATCTCTCAATGTAAGCTATAGCATGCTTTGCCTTGACTCCATCTGCTCAGAGCCATCTCGCTGCTGGCACTGCTGGGGGAGAGCGTTCCTTCCCCAGGCCCTGGCATACATGGAGCGGGTGGGGTAACGGAGAGCTACGGCTATGCCATGGGTTTTTGTTGCAGCGTAGATATACCCTGGAGGGTCTGAGCCTGAGTCAAGCCAAGACCCAGGGTTCAAGCCCCGTTGCTTTGCAGTGTAGACGTGCTCTGAGTCCTCCAAAGAGAGAGTAGAACCTCAGAGTTACGAACGCCACGGGAATGGAGGCGGTTCGTAACTTGGAACAAAACGTTAGGATGGTTCTTTCAAAAGTTTTCAGCTGAACCGTGACTTAATTCAGCTTTGGAACTTTACTGGGCAGGAGAAAAATGCTGCTTTCCCTTTATCTTTTTTAGGCGTTTCCCTTTAACACGACACTGTACTGTATTTCCTTTTTTTTTGGTCTCTGCTGCTGTCTGATAGTTCACTTCTGGTTCCAAATGAGTTGGGTGGCTGACTGGTCAGTTCGTAACTCTGGTGTTCCTAACGCTGAGGTTCTGCTGTATCCTGTCCCACAAGCTGACTTACTTTGTCATCTGGACAGTCAAGTTTTCTCACACTGCATCACGAACAACAGGCTCGAGCAGGCACATTTTGGGAAGGTGCTAGGAAGTCTGGGATACGACTGGTTGGATTCATATCTGCATAATGCAGTGTAGATGCTGGTGCCCCAATCTGGGACCCGGGGTTCAACAATTCCTAACCTGGGGTTACAAATGGGTGTAGATGCTCAAGTCCTAGGTTAACAAACCCAGGGCCTGTTAACTCAAGTTCTCCTAACCCAGGGCTTCCATTGCAGTGTAGACAGACCCTGAGTGTCTGAGCTGGGCCACGACTAGGTTCTCAAACTAATTAAGCTGCAGGGATCATTGTGTTCTCTGCTCATCCAAGACTGACCCCTCCAGACAAGGGGTTTTGTTCCTCTTCTGCTTTACCCGCGGCCTCCTTATCCATGGTGTGACAGCATGTGGTTTTGCTTATTCCGCATACGATGGACAGCATGCGATTAAAAACATGATCAAAACCAGCCTGCTCTCTTTAGACCCGGGGCTGTGGGCCTGCAGCTGTAACCAGCTGTGCTCTGCTCCCTAAAGCATAGTCAGAGTTGGTGGGTACTTAGAGAGATGGTCTTTCCAAGAGCACTGACATGCTGGTAGGACCTTGCACAGAAGGTGGTGAGCCAGTGCCCCGGGATGGTGTTTGTGAGATGGCTGCTGCCCTTCAGAGGAGCAATGAAATTCTGGTTTTGACCTCTGGTGTTTACCACTTTCTGTTCAGGCTGAGGTTGCTAGGTCCTCATTGAATTCTAGGTGGGTTCACTGAGAGGGAGTACGGTCTGGTGGTGAGAGCAGGGGATTGCAAGTCAGGAGATCTGGGTCGGCTCCTGACTCTGCCGATGAAAATATTATTTGTTGTATTATTCTAGCACCTAGAGGAGTCCTAATCATGCCCCACAACCGCATTGTGCCAGGCGCTGCACAGACACAGAACAAAAAGACCCTCTGTGCCCCAGAGCATTCGCAGTCTAAGACAAGAGACAACAGAGGGATACAGACAGACGGGGTAGCACGAGGAAACAATGAGACAGGGTTGGTCACGATGGGCAGTGTCTCAGCACGTCAGCAGCCTGGCCGTTGTAAAGTTTTATGTAGGTATCGCAGTCGAGGAGAGATTTAAGGAGGGATTTAGAAACATAGAAGATTAGGGTTGGAAGAGACCTCAGGAGGTATCTAGTCCAACCCCCTGCTCAAAGCAGGACCAATCCCCAACTAAATTATCCCAGCCAGGGCTTTGTCAAGCCGGGCCTTAAAAACCTGTAAGGATAGAGATTCCACCACCTCCCTAGGGAACCCATTCCAGTGCTTCACCACCCTCCTAGTGAAATAGTGTTCCCTAATATCCAACCTTGAAGGAGGACAGTCAGGTGTGGGTTTCTACACTAAGTTTGGCCCAGACGTGAGGGGAAGCCTTGCTGTGTTCTCTGCGTGTGTCTCTCGCAGGGGGTCTGTGCGGGTCCACGAATGGTTGAGAGCCTGGCTGAAAGGTGCTAAAGGAAACAAAAGTAAAAATAGAAAGTTAGTGGCAACGCTGAGAGTCAAGGGTGGCCTCGTACATCCCATTATCAGACAGCCCCTGGTTTCCGCTGGTTATAACTTTGCCAGACTTTAACTGTTGTGGCTGAAATATTCCATTCTTGATCTCTGCAACTGGATGAATTGCTTTGGTCAGTTTCACTGAAAATGATTCAGCCCTTTCCAAGCTTGAGGCAAAGGGAAAGTCAGATCGTGTTGGTAACATTAAAGAGACTTTTCAGCTGTTTCTTTGCAGAGTTCCGGCGTGTCCATGCTTTGGAGCAGGGTCATGAAGTTTGCTGGGGCGATAACCTTTGGGTCACAGATACAACTTTTTGCTGTCCTTTATGCCTTCTTCTTGCTTCTTACACCCCAGCTCTGAATTGAGGTCTGTGTCTGGAAGGGTTAGATGCCGTCTGCTCTGAGGATTAGGTTGTGATTTTATTGAAGTAAGATGAGAGTCAGGCCCTGAGAGTTCGCACTGAGGGCAGAATAGCCAAGGCTTGTTATAGTGTATAGTTTGATCCAGAGCGACAGCTGGCTTTAATGGTGTTAGAGCTTTTGGGTCTGATCTGAACTCACATCAGTTTAACTCCTATGGGCCAATTTTTCCTCCCATTTATAGCTGTACAAATCAGGGGTCACGCCTTTGACCTATGTTGAATTACGCCGATGTGACACTGGAGTGAGATTGGAATCATCTCCTTTGATTCCAGCAGAGTCACTCCTCCTTTACCCGGCCGATTAGATCAGAACCGGGCCCTTTATAGCGACAGTTCAGCTGCCCAAGACCCAAGCGCTGTGGTCCCCATAGATTGGTGCCACATCTCTTTGCTTCCTGCCCTCTTTCCCATGCTTTGATTGCTTGTGACCCCTGCACGAGCAGGAGCACGCTGTGCCCGACCCTTTCACTGCAGTACAAGCTTGCCCGTTCCCCTCTCGCCGGAGGAAGCCGTGATTCCTCCCAGCGTCTCCGACGTGGCTGTGTGCAAGGCATCTGGAAGTCATGAACGCAACGGGAGTTCGTTTTATTTATTCACCCAATGTTTGATTTTTTTTTTTTTTAAGCATGCACTTTAAGTGTCATGCAGTGAGGGGCGGCCTGAGCTGCTGCAAGCTGTGAAAGTCTGGTAGGAAAATAAACAAGACAAAGTGAGGGGTGTGGAGACCAGGAGGCGTTCCAGCAGAATCCTGGAGCGGGATTGGAGTTAGCTTGGAAGAGATATTGACCTGATCTTTTCAAACCAAGGAGCAGGAAGGTGGGGTGGGGGTGAGGGGACAACATTCCTTTAAAGGAGCCTTTTTCTTGTGGCTCAGCAGCGGAAGATCATCGTTCAGTAGAACATCCCTGCCCACCCTGGCTACGTCTCAGCCAGAGTGAACGAGAGCACCCAGCGATTTGCTTAGGCCTCTGTCATGGGCTGCTCCCTCAGCTACCCGGTGTGCCATGGGCCTGGCCCGTTTGTGCGGTCTCTTATTCACAATATACACACAGTCTGTTTCTTTTCCCCACGTGTATCTGTAATCTCTAGATTCCCAGCATTTCAGGACATAGTACAGGAGGAACCTTCCACCCAGCGTTCCCCATCCCGCCCAGCCCAGTCTCGGAGCTCCCCTCTTACTTCCTGCCAATTCTCGCTCTTCCTGTGTTGAGCTGATGACTTCATTAGCCTAATCCCTGCCCCCGAGTGTCAACAATCTCCACCATAACAAGTTAATTGCCTCCGATTAAGCCTGTAACTGTCTTGGTTACGTAGTTACCTCAGGGCATGTCTACGCTACAAACTTTTGCCAACTCAAGTGAGTATATCGCTTATGCACAAACACATTTGGCTCCTTGTGTCAGCACTGTGTGTGCTCACCAGGAGTGCTTGTGTCGATGCCCAGTGCAGTGCACCATGCACGTATCCCAGGGTGCAACTCACCACCATCCCGTGCAATGGTGGGGCAGAAATAGGTGGCGCAGGGGTGACTGGGACCGCAGCGTCAAGGTCCCATCATGCAACTTTCTCCACCCGATAATGCTATCTCGATCCCATAATTTTCACGCCTATTCAGAAAATCCCACAAACCAGCATGGGACTTGTTGCTGTCCGTCACCTCTGCTCTGAACACCTCTGGACTATTGTCATGAGAGTTAGACGTGTAGACTTTAAGGCTAGAAGGGGATCATCGTGATCATCTAGTCTGACCTCCTGCATGTTGCAGGCCAAAGAAACGCACCCACCCCCTCCCATGTCAGACCCCTAACCTCTGGCTGAGTTACTGAAGTCCCCAAATCATGATTTAAAGACCTTTAGTTACAGAGAATCCACCATTGACACTAGTTTAAACCTGCAAGTGACCCATGCCCCGTGCTGCAGAGGAAGGTGAAAAACCCCAGGAAAGGCGAAAGCCCCCAGGACAAGCACAGGATTGGTGAGCCTCCAATATTTGAGAGCTATGAGAGGAGTCGCGGGGAACATGATGATTCCTGAAGGGCGGATTGCTGTGGAACACAGCGAGAACGAAGTCGAGGTTTTCGGTGGCATTCACAGAGTAGCTACAAACAGTGACTTGTGGGATCTCATCGTAATGCAGGTGTGGGATGATGAGCCACGGCTGCAGAACTTTCGGATGCTCAAAGCCACATTCCTGGATCTGTGCACCGACTCACCCCAGCCCTCCAGTCCAGGGACACAAATGTGAGAGCAGAGCTGACAGTGGAGACGTGAGCGGCCATCGTGCTGTGGGAACTTGCCCCGGCAGATTGCTACCGGTCAGTGGGAAATCATTTTGGAGTTGGAAAATCCACTGTGGGGGTGGTTTTCATGCAGATGTGCAGGGCCATCTTCTGCTACGCAGGACTGTGACTGTCAGC